AAGATTGTGTGTTTCTTTGATGACCAGGCAAAAACTGTTACGGCTTGGCTGGGAAGTTCTGATTCATCCACCATATTCACCAGACATTGTGCCTTTGGATTTCCGTTTATTTAGGTCTTTACAAAATTCTGTTAAAGGAAAATATTTCAATTCCCTGGAAGACTGTAAAAGGCACCTGGGAACAGTTCTTTGCTCAAAAAGATAAAAAAGTTTTGGGAAGACGGAATTATGAAGTTGCCTGGAAAATGGCAGAAGGTAGTGGAACAAAAGGGTGAATACGTTGTTCAATAAAGTCCTTGGTGAAAATGAAAAATGTGCCTTTTATTTTTACTTAAAAACTGAAGGCACTTTTTGGCCAATGCAATATCATTGTTGATGTCTGTCTTCTCCCATGCATTGCTCGTTGGTATGAATTATCCACTGCATCTTTATATTTTCAGTGCCTAACACACCGTCAATGTTTAAAAATTGCTTGTTGATTGAACCAAATCTAATCAGTGCATATTTTTAATAAATACTGCATATGTACAATTTCACAAAAATTCCCTCTCATTCATTCCCTTACAGTTAAGGCCTTTCATCTATTTTAGACTCTAATGATTTTGAAGGGGATCAGAATATGTCACCCCCAAATATGCCCCTTTGCCTAAGGATTATTTTGAGCTGAATGCAACTAAGAGGAAACAGACACAAGAAAAAGTCTCTGACCTCCCCCTTTCTACCTGAAAGCAGAGCATAAAATGCCCTTTGTGAAGGTGTCTCCCCCTCACCTCTCCCTTACCAGGAAGGGGGGAATCAATCTTAACTGCCTAAACAGAACCTTACTAAATTACCCTTATCTTCCATTAGTTTCCCCCAGTAGATTTACCTTCCCACAATTTACCACCCCTAAAAGCCTAAACTTCTTTTTCTTTATCTTGTCACTTTTCCACAAATTTCTTGCTCTTTGTTAAAATGATATATAAGTGCCTAAGTCTAATAGCTTCTTTGGGTCTTCACTATTCCTCTAGGAAGGCCTCCATATGCATACATAATAAACCGTTTCTCCTCTTAATCTGTCTTTTGTTAGGTTATTTCGAAGTTCCCAGCCACAGAACCTAAGAGGGTAGAGGAAATTTTTTTCCTCCCCTACAATCTACTCTCAAAAATTCTACGCAGAAGTTAAATGCTGTAACACCCATATTGATATTCCACTAATCAAGTGCACCAAACAGATTTATTCAAGAAAAACATTAATTTTTAGGTAGATAGCATATTTATGACTTCTAGTGTCAAGAAGAAATGTTACAAGTCTGTAGCATAATGGAGCAAACTAAATACGCCGCTCTTC